AAAATCTACAATCGCAAGGAATATCTAGAGATTTGAGACCAAAGGTACCCTAATAAATAACTGCAGATGTGAAGCAAGGCAGGAACAAAGAGAAGATGCAAGAAATGATTCCAACTTGGAAGTTTTATTGTGCGTGGAAGAAAACGATGGAAAGATCAGCACAAGGAAACTTGAGGATGAAATAGGAATAGATCATACTACAACGTTTCGAATTTTGAAACGACATAAATACTATTCCTTCAAATATGAAAAGCACCAAGAGCTACGAGATGGGGATGAAATACGGCGGCAGGCTATATGCCGCTGAATATTATAATAATATAGGCGCTGAATCGACAATGGTTGCTTAGAAATAGCCTTTGTTTTTTCGTAGCAACTAAAATTATTTCGATTTCCTGGAGCCGGCCTTTCAAGTTACTCCTTTTTATATTTGATTTTCTAATAATAAGTTTATATTTATTTTAATAGCGACATTGTTATTCGCTGGGATCGGGTAAGTAAATTAATATTCCTCTGGTTTTGGTTCTAGATCTATATTACGCGATTATTCGAAGACACAAGAAAGTTGAAATAATGTAAGCCAAAAATTTGCATCCACTTAATTAAATTTGAAAATCACAAAGTAGTTTAGTTATGAATCTTCGTACATCCGCCTGATTTTGACATATATTATTTTTCCTCCATTCAAACAATTTCATATTATAACGAAAATTTTTGCCCGTTCTTGCCCCATTGTAAATTATTTTAAGTTTAATAAACCTATGAATAGTCGAAAAATTGATCACATAAATTATCGCTAAATTTATTCTCGCTAAGTTTTCTTCGGCAAGTATTGACATTTCTCTGCTATTTTCTTCTGGATATGTGGTATAAAAATAGAAAATGGATGAAATACTATATTACGTAATGAGTACTGTAAAAAATATATTACGGGCGAATAGAAAAGTTGTACACAAGGCGTGTGGTAATGGGAGTGGTATTGTATGAGCGCATTACTATATTTCTGCAACAAGATTTACGTACTAAACTTTACCTACGACCACAAATACTACAAAAACATTTTCGTTATTGAAGTTTTTTAAATGTTTGGTATACAGGGTGGCACCTCTCATACTACTCATACTATACGGAAGCTCCAAGGAGAATGTCTGAATGAATGTTTACATTGAAATGCAATTTTGTAAGTAAATCTAAGTCAATTTAGAGCCATTTTTTAAAAATATATAGAGTTCTATAAGGTGTCCCCAAAAAAAGTGACACATCAAAGTTGTATTCTTTGTAACGGTTAGGTTAGGTTTCGTTTGTTATTCTGGGACAGGGTGTCCCAGAAATAAGTGCAAGTATTTTAAGGGGTGGCAGATCTCGATAAAAGAAACAAATTTTCTCTTTATCATTTTTCAAATAAGTCTTAATCAAAAAAAAATATTTTTTGCTAAAATTTTGAGAACCAACCACTGGATCTTTTCTGGATTTTGTTTCTTGTAAATTTAATCTACTACAGTACGTCTGTCCGTTCTGTAGCTACGGGGTATCCGTGAGAGGGGAAACGATATTCTCTCGATGTTTTTCGTAAAAAATTAGACGACGCGTCCCATCAATAAAAATTCGACAAATTTACAAGTAGCCAATAAAGTGAGTGGGCGGAGCGATTTGCGGTGACGTACTCGTCAAGTCGACGTATAAAATATATTGCTGTTTATTTAAATGTTTTTTGTCCGCATTCCTTTCATAGACACAGATCCAGCAGTCGTACTGTACCTATGTTGCCATATTATCAAGAAATTATGTTTTTTGACTAAAAACTAAAAAAAATGTCCAAAAATTCCGAATTTTCATTTGTTTTTTCGCGAAAAAAACCTCATAGGCATGTTTCTGGGGTTAAACTATACTACCAGTTAAAATACTTGCATTTATTTCTGGGACGCCCTGTATATTAATTGATTTTCGGATTCTAGAAAAAAATAAAGGTGAGTTTCATTCGAGAAGCATAAGACTAAAATGTCAGGTTTTTGATATATTTAACACTTTCTAAAAATGAAGACTACATTTTAAACATCAGAAAATTCTACCTAAATTGGAATTTCTAGTCTAATATATAGTTAAAATAACCGTTGTAAACTTTCAAAAAATGAAGTGATTTTTTTTTGTTTACCCGTCCTGTATAATAGTTATACTGCTAAGCAATAGTCATTTTTTGATGAAAGTTACTTTTTAACCTGCTCAAATTAAAGTAATAAAAATATCTAAACTTTCGAAAAATAAAGTGATTTTTTGTCGAGCCACCCTGTATAATAGTCATACCGCTAAGCCATTTTTCCATAAAATAACCATTTTTCGATAAAAGTCACTTTATAACATGTTAATTATTCGTCAAATATATGTGCACTATCACCCAAACTTTTTCGACATATTTAGTGAATCCTGCCCCACTGTGCGCCGATTTCTTTTTAAATATTTCTCCTGTCTTATGGCCCTGTATTTACTTATGAGCACCAGTCAAGGTAAAAGATAACTGTCAAATGAAGTTGTCATTTCAGAAATTTACCTATTTAGTGCTTTATTATTATTGAAAACTCATTCCTACATCGGAAATCTTAAAGATGTATTTATAAATACAAATTAATATGAATTAAAGTAAAATAAAGTAATCAATTACAAGGTTAATTATAATATTATTACAATATTCAATAACTTATTAATTTAAGTACTATTAAATTGTTAAGAACTTGTAAGATGTAATGTTCAAATATTCCACCATCGACTGCTAGACAATAACCCAGGCGATCATAAAATTCTCTTCTTACATTCGCTAGTTGGTAAACTGAAATTCTATTGCATTGGGCTGAAATAGCATTTTTTAACTCGTCTAGATTTGGGTATTTTTTATCCTTGTATATCCTGTTTTTTAAATGGCCCCAGAGAAAGAAATCATTTGGCGAAATATCAGGAGACCTTGCTGGCCAATTTACCGTATGATTTAGGCCAATAACGTTTCAGTTAAAACTATTGTCTAAATATTCCCGAACAGCCAGGGTACTATGTGCCGGGCAGCCATCCATTTGGTACCAAACTTCCTGATTTTCCCTAGAGGCATCATGTAAAGCAGGTAAAATATGATTTTCGAGTAGTTCCAAATAATATTCTGCATTTAAATTTCGCGTAAGAAATAATGGCCCGATAATATTATGTCCGAATATCCCTGCCCAAACATTTACTTTCTATGGATATTGCGTCCTTGTTTCGACAAACCTGTGTTGGTTTTCTTTGTTCCAATATCAATAATTTTGAACATTTATTGGGTTCATTATTTAAGGTAAACGTGCATTCGTCAGTGAAACATATGTTTTTTAAAAAATTCCCTATGCATGGTTGCTCTTTCCATCATATCAAAACAAAACGCCTGCCGCCGTATTTCGTCCCCATCCCGTAGCTCTTGGTGCTTTTCATATTTGAAGGAATAGTATTTATGTCGTTTCAAAATTCGAAACGCTGTAGTGTGATCTATTCCTATTTCATCCTCAAGTTTCCTTGTGCTGATCTTTCCATCGTTCTCTTCCACGCACAATAAAACTTCCAAGTCGGTATCATTTCTTGCATCTTCTCTTTGTTCCTGCCATGCTTTACATCTGCAGTTATTTATTAGGGTACCTTTGCTCTCAAATCTCTGGATATTCCTTGCGATTGTAGATTTTCCAGGTATCGGTCTATTCGGATACAGAGTAGCAAACATGTCCGACACCTTTTGATAACTATTTCCTTGATAATACCATTTAATCATCAATACTTTTTCTTCGGTAGTGTAATTCATGGCTAATATTTTCGATGTAGGTATGAGTTTTTAATAATAATAATAAAGTACCTATGATAAAGCACTAAATAGATAAATTTCTGAAATGACAACTTCATTTGACAGTTTCTCTTTCACATCTTTTACCTTGACTGGTGCTCATAAGTAAATACAGGGCCATAAGAAAGGAGAAATATTTAAAAAGAAATCGGCGATAACTCGTAAACGAGCTAATCAAAAATATCTAAAGTTATTCTTTTGAACGTGGGTTTTAGTGCTCTTCAATCAACCTAAATAGAATTATTCTCTAAAATAATTAGGGAAGCCAATAATTGACCCCATTAAAATTTACATGGGATTTCCTATGTCCCGCTCGACGATGCAACACCCGGTATATTTCTACTTTGTTCGATAGAAAGTGACACTCTAAATAAATGTATAATGCGGTTCATAACGACAATTTGACTCGAAATACCAAATTTGTGGTACATAATTATTCGTAAAAAAATTATTTTTCCAAATATGTTAATGAGCCACCCTTGTTCCATTTGAGAAAATTGAGATATGATTAAAAATACGATTTGGGCATCTTTTAACCGATCAGGACAAGACACGAAAAACATCAGACGATCAAATCTATTTTTTCAAGGCTCCTTGTTTAAAAATTAGTGTTTTTAGCACACTAGATTGAAATTTAAAATACGATTTTTTAAGCGACAATTTCAAAAGCTGACATATAATGTCATTCTATTTATTCAGAGTTTCATTTTCCATCAAATGAAGTAAAAAAATACCAGGGGTGTCATTTAAAAATCAAAAGTTGCAGTCATTTCCGGTGAAACAGGAAGTGGCCGAAAACAATTGAATACGTCAATCAAACCTAATTTATATCACAGATTAGCATACCAAATTTCGTTTTTTTATCTGAAAAAATTAAAAAGTGAGAACACTTTTGAGACGCACCCAGTATACTGTTATTAACTATTTCTTGTAAATTTACTTATATTATTTTCAGTGCAGACAAAACGTTTTGTTGTAAAATAAAATAAAAATATACAACAGACAGTTTTTCGTCTACACACAAAGTTTTACTTGATACATTTGGACTAAACCGGTAAAACTGTATGTGTAAGCAGTGCCTTTTTACAAAAAAATACTCACCCAATATTAAAGAAAAAATCGAAACAATTCCAGAACTAACAAAAAAAAACAATTCTCTTTCAATAACAGTTCCTTTTATTTACTAAACTCCTTTACAACATTCCTCACACGACACAAAAGAAAAATCCAACGAAAAATCACCCAGTATTAATTTTCACACTCGCGACATTTCGCGACAATTCAAAATTCCCGCTTTTTTCGCGCCCAACCGCCGTTCATTTGTTCGCGACGCCTCGGACGCCGATCGCTGACTGACAACGCGTCGTCCCGACGCCCCGAGATGGACCAGCGTCGCGGTCAGAAACAAACGAACCGTGTGTTGGGGGATGCTGGGGCTAAAGTGGGACGCCTAAAGTAGTGGAGAGCACGGTAAACCGAACACAGGAACTAACTAATAGGTGGTACGCTGCTCAGAGTTTTGTAGAACCGTGTAGGAGAAGTCAGAGCTATTGTGGGACGCTTCAAGTAAGGGGATATCGAGGTAAAATGGACGTAGGAACTAGCAGATGGATGGTACACTGCTGAGGTTGTAATGGGGATCGGCTGGACATGGACAGCGCATTTGTCCAGTTTTTCTGTCGTATTCTCCTGAAAAAAAATAACCGATATTAATATATAGGGTGGTCGGAATTGTATTCCGGAAACTTCGGCAGCATATTCTACAGATAAAAATATGTAAAAAAGTTCGTATAAATGTATCTCCGAAAATGCTTAGTTTCGGAGATACAGGGTGTAGAAATTTTATTTTTATTTAAATTTTTTCCAAATAATTTGTGAAATAACGTCAATATTTGAATGAAAATTGGTGTCTGGAAGTTTTTTTGACACTAGAAATTTAATTTTGATGTCAATAAAACTCCAATTTGTAGGGGGTGCCACCTACATGTGGTGGAAAAGTAACAACTTTTTGTCCGTACCTGTATAAAACTACTCTATGAAAAAATATACATTTTCGTGATTTTTTACGTAAAAAATGTCTTTTGGTAAAAATCGCTACGAGCACCCGTTCTCAAGATATTTAGAATGGGAACAGTCAATACATGTCATTATTGACAAAAAATAAACGTGTGTTAAGTAGATATAGTCTGTGAAATGAATAACTTTGAATTTGACAGTTCCCGCGGGCTTTTTTAGTGTTTATTTTATTAGGTTAGCAACTTGCGGCCATGCTGACGCAATGCCGTCTCTAATACAACAGCCTACGAGCGAGATTTATGACGTCTAGCTAGTTAGATACTACGGATTAATGAATATGTTGTAGAATACATGGAAGCATAATTATTCCTCGTATTTTTGGTTTGTATTTGAAAAACAAACTTTGATTTTAAAATACAAACCAAAAATACGAGAAATAGTTATGTTTTCCATGTATTCTACAACATATTTATTAATCCGTAGTATCTAACTAGCGTGACGTCATAAATCTCGATCGGAGGCTGTTCTATTAGAGACGGCATTGGTCTGATATTTAGAAATGTCAAAAGCTGATGACATTTTAATTTTGACAATTATGACATTTCGTGTTGATTTTTGGAAGAGGAAGAACTGTCACTTGTTTTGTTATTTTCCTTTTCTATTTCACGAAAGTAAAAAGAGTTACCTATCTGATTCGTTCAGGCACTCAATTTAAAGGATATCAGTAACTTTTTTGATAGAGGGATTTTATATTTGCCGTGTTGGTAAGAAATAATGGTCAAAATTCAAAGTTATTCATTTTATGGACTATAGTTATTTAACTGAAATTATAAATTTGGGAACTTTTTATTTTTTATGACGATAAAACAGTTTCTGTTGAACTTTTGGCATAAAAACTTTTCAAATTTATGATTTCAGTCTAGTAACTATTTAGTCAACATGTTTATGTCAATGATGACAGGTATTGATAATTTCCATTCCAAATATCTCGAGAACCATTCCTCGTAGCGATTTTTACCAAGAGATCTTTTTTGCGAAAAAAACGTCGTAAATGTATGTATATTATTTTTCAAACCAGTTTAAAAATATGTAGGTGGCGCCCTCTACAAGTAGGAGTCATATTGACATCAAAATCAAATTTCTCATGTCAAAAAAAACCCAAACACCAATTTTCATCCAAGTATAGTCGATAGTTTAGAAATTATTTGAAAAAGATCGAAATAAAAATGAAAAATTCTACACCCTGTATCTCCGAAACTAAGCATTTTAGAATATACATTCATACGAACTTTTTTACTTATTTTTTTCTGCAGAATATGCTGCTGATATAGGGTGTAAAAAAATAATGTACCACTCTGTATTCTATTATACTCAGTAACGTGACATAGGAAGTTTCTAAACATGTTACCTAAAAAGGCTCCACATCTCTTACAAAACAACTGAATTTGGCTACCTTCAGACATGAGGAATGGTAGAAAACATACAGGCCAACACACTAATAAACATAAAGCCCCTATTGGTGAATAAGCTACCTAAAAAATACCGTACATATCAAAAGTTGACTCTATAAGCAGCATATCTATTTTTAGTCCATATATTATCAAATCTACTATTCAACATTCGCGTTGTACTACTTGCTGTACAACACAAATTATCGTATACGATTCACTTATAAAAAATAAAGATAGTATTAAAGAATAGCAGATGATGAAAATAGGACATAGTAAACTGCTTGAGAGGTGTCGATTGTTGAATAATCGTGATACTTTTATTTCCCATACTTACTTACTTCAACTTACTCTATTTCGTTTTTGACGTACACAGGGACGATCAACGTATTTGCACCTAGGGCAAGTTACTCTAAGAGGTCCGGGTTTCCACGTCTCCACTACAAAATTTTATAGCTGTCAAATAGTGTAAAAAAGGCTGTCAAACGAAACTTAAACCCACGCTAAGGCGTTGATTGAAAGAATTGAGAAGATACGCAACCTACTGGGCCTAATTCGTGACAAAGCTGATTTGATTTCCCCTTACGTCTCAAGTGCTGTACGGTGGAGCCACCACTCGTTCTGCGGCCAACGCATAAAATACTCATTTTTTCTAATTCAGCTAGCGAAGGCATATCGAAGACGGTGTGGAACTCAAAGCGAGAGTGTTGCCAGATTAAAATGTGTAATATCTTAGGAATAAAATCCGCGTTTTTGTATTGAACATTTGTTAAACACAGAATAAACAACTGAAATAAAAACTTCTTTTATATGTACTGAATATTTCGTATGATCAAAAAGTCCTTTAATTGGCTTGAAAATGACGATTATTGACATTTACCATAATATTTTATATAAAAAACAACAGCGATCTTCGTTTCAAAGCCAACTCTAACGCCGTTCTTTATTTAATCATATCATATTATATTAAATTGTTTAATGAAAGAAAATCCGTATTATTAACGTACTCTACCCAAAATTTGTAAATCTACGGATTAATCCTCTGTCTCCAGCAACCACTCACTCTGTCGACTGAAAGCAGAACTACAGTACAGTATTCTTTATCTGCTGCGCTGTAAACGACTTCAGCGCGCGGCGGCGCAGAGCTAAACTAAATCTCGCACACACCATAAGGTTGCGCATCTGTTGCGCATCTTCTTATTTCTTCAGTCAACGATTAAGGCATGTTTTTTGAACCATTTTAATCAATAAATATGATATAAAACGTTACTCATGTGTTCAAAATTATTATTTTAATTTATTGCAAGTAGTGTTTCCCGACAAATTCTTCCATTCCTTAAAGTTTCATTTACATTAAATCTTTATTACCAAGACCAAGAGGATCTTGGTCTTGATCGTGAATCTCGTGCTTATCTCTATATGTACGCTTTAGAAGTCAAAAGCTTTAGTATACTAAAGACGTACCTGTAGTTTTATACACGCATTTTGGTTTAGCTTTGATTTTCTCTTCGTATGATGAACATGCACAAGGTAATTTAGTACGGGGACCTAAAATACAACATTCGGTATTAGATTTTTTAAATTTCTCCACACTTATTACTACTTCTTTCTTCTGTACACATTTTTGATTGTCTATTGTATATCGATGGCGGCGACAATATGCTACTTACAGGATGGGAGATTCTTAGAGCTGGTACAACAGCTGCAAATATTCTCGTGCGAGAAATGTCCCATTTCCACATGGGGATGCTTTTTCAACAGATGCTCCCCTAAAACACAGGGACATTCCGGGTTAAAAACCAGTCTCTCGCCGCATATTTGACATACTAGTAGCGAGTCCATCCAAAGTGCCTCGGACGGGTCTGCTGAGGCATCTTGAACCGCGCGCAGCGGTCACACTGACGTTGCAACACCGATTTGACAGGAATCTGGACCAGTTTGATGTTTAAACAATGGCCTGTCAAACTGATTTTAACCTAAGATTGGGTAATGTCTTTGAATAAGAAGACTAAGGAAGGAGCATAATGCTATCCATGTATTCATGCATGGTGGGCGGAAAAAGCACCATAAAAGCACTCTATGGTGGGGATCCTTGACAGTTCTGTTTGACGATTCATTTGACACATTTGAATTTGATTTGAAATTTTGTGGATTTGTCAGTCTTTACGGAGCTTATTTTATGTTATTTAATATTTATTCTACTACTGATAGTTGTATAAAGGTAGTAAATCTAGATGGAAATTGTGGCAGCACTTAAATTAACAGTGACACTATCGCGATTTATCGAAAAAGACTCTAAAATAGTTGGTTGTGTAGCGTGCGGTAGATCTCAGCAAAAATTGAGTGAAATAGTGGAACAACTTTTCGCTAGTAAGTGACTATATAATATACATACGTGTAGTAAACCGATCATTTATGAAATTAAACTAAAAAAACACTTAAATTAACTAAATTATATATTTTTCTTGCATTTTAGCTTTTATTTATTACTTGTCAAAGATTAGATGTCAAAGAATTTAGATACGTTAATTTGACTTACCTGCTTCAGTAGCGTATCGGATGTTTGTGGTAATAAATACTTATTATAACTTATCTATTTTTATTGACAAGATGACAAGTGATTACTTCAAAATATTGTGAAAAAAACTGTATAAAACTGAAAAAATGTAATCGAGTTATTTTATTTAATAAAAACGGTGTGTTAATACAAAACAAACAAGAACAAGACACTACACACCAAAAAAATATAAAAAAGAACTATTTTTTACTTTCAAGCTTTATGAAACTACCCGCATTTATGATTATATTTATCAATATAACTTATGTACAAATACAAATTTGTAATATTCCACAGGAATAAATAAAACAACATAAGTAAATAAAACAAACGGTATACCAAACAAACTATTTTATTAATAATAACACCTACCAAATTTTATACCTTAAAGGTTGATTAATTAACTTTAATCTTAATTTTTTTAAACCAGTACCTTTTGACATTATTTTTCTGCAGTACTAAAATCCATTATTTACCTATCATGTGATATCGATATTTTACAGCTACTCCAGTTTTTAGTATGTGTTTAGTTTGATCCTTCTACCATATACGAGATGCACTTATCTACGACGAGATGGTATACAAACTTTATCGATGGCAACTTCATTGGTGTATAAGACTTTCTGCCTGGGCAGCGAGTATTAACCATAAACTGTGCTCTGGGTCTACAGTTAATTTTCACTCGATTTTTCCTCCACTTGACTTCAAAAAAGACACAAAACACACGTAATAATACGAATCAAAATGCATCATCTTCCAAGACGCAGGGTATTTAACAAAAGTTGACACAAAATTATAACCTATAATTTGGCAAGACTTTGACAAGCGTCAAAAATGACAAAAATCTAAAGGCGAGTTCATACGCATCGGCGTCCGTTTATCGTTCATCGTTCCGTCAAACCAATAAAATTGAAATACGATCTGTCATTTTTTAAATAAACCAATAAAACTGGTTAAAAACAACAAGACACGACGCATGACGGATTTATATTTAAACCCATCCATAGATAACTTAAAAATTATTAGAAACTTCTTTTAGTAAAATAAATAGATTGGTATGGGATGTCATCTGCTTTTCTTCTATCATCGTCTGTCGAAATCTTACCTGAGAAAAAAAACAGAGTTTTTTATTTATTACTTGTCAAAGATTAGATGTCAAAGAATTTAGATACGTTAATTTGACTTACCTGCTTCAGTAGCGTATCGGATGTTTGTGGTAATAAATACTTATTATAACTTATCTATTTTTATTAGAACTATATATTTTTATAACAATTTTAATAACTACCAACATTTATTCACAACGTAAAATAAAACAACAAATTATTGAGTCTACCCCACGTCTACCCTACATCATATTTTTACATTTTTTAAATAAAATTAGAACGACACTGATAAACCGGAATTTAAGTCGGCCATATTTGAGGCCTATCGCGGTGTACCTAAGATTTTTGATATGCTCCTTCCTTAGTCTTCTTATTCAAAGGGTAATGTCTATTAATCCCAGAGATATAGATGATTTTAAGCTTGATTTGCATGCGTCCGTTATTCGTTGATACGATGATCCGACGACGCTCTGATTGGTCTTAGCGTTTTCGCGTCACTTTTCATCCGTAATTTTTTTACTCCAGCCCGTCAAGCGTCAACGGAGAAAGATCGAACGATAACGGACGTTTTGACACTTTTTTGACAAGTTTAATCTAACTTTAATAAAAGTAAAATAGTACAAGAACTAGCAACGTCGGGAAAAAAAGAATTTTAAGAAACCTGGTTCTCTAATATATCTTTTGTTATGCTCTCCTGACCAAAGTGCGGGCGGTCTGGCTGCCGGTAGACTACTGCGGTTCACTACAGCGCATCAGATCTATACAGGGTATCCCATTTTCGTGTGTTTTATGGGATTTCTCTTTTATGGGTAGAGATACAATGCGATTTTCACATTATTTTGCTAGTTTTTTATGAAACCCCACTTCTTTTCAAAGTTTTCACACCCTGTATATGGAGAAATATGCCTTTTTGGCATGCATTGACAAATAATGTGACATGGACAGATATGAGCGATAAAGATAATAGCAAAATCCCAAGAACCACCTCTGAACTGATCGAAACGACGGAGTTATCTGCTCCTGAGCATCTCGAAGATCAGAATGTTCGAGCAGTCACGCACAGAGAGGCGTTTTTGGAACTGATAAACGAAGAAAGAACGCCTAATTTAGTAACTACTTCACAGCCGAACTTGAGAAGTCCATATAATGAATTGGCTAGTTACAAAAACACAGGTTTGATTGGGTTGAATTTATTTATTATACCAGATCTTTAATCTTTTTATTAAGTAAATAATGAAACTAAAAGAATTTTTTACTGATGAATCCAAAACTATAAAAAATAAAAATAAAATACTATACAAGCAGCGTATAAGTGGGACACGCGCAGCATTATTATACAGGGTGTTTCAAAACAAATGCGAAAAACTTGAAGGGGTGATTTCTTGTTCAAAATAAACGGTAGTTTGCTTTATAAACATTGGGTCAAAAGTCAACCATTAGGGAGATATCGCGGTACAAAAATGGCGGAAAAATAATGTTTTTATTTTTTATCTTGAAAACGAAAAACGATAGACTAATGAAATTTTATGGAAGCATTACTGTTATGAAAACATACTTTCTGGGAATTTTCTCACTTTTTTAAAATGAGTGGAAGGGGTTGAAATAAACTGCCCTTATAATTCTTGTTAACGAAATTTAAAAAAAAATCTTATCAAACACATGCAAAAAAATTAATTTAGATAGCTTGGTTTATTTAGAAACTTTTTTATCTCTTGTGTTTCTTTGATAAAACTCGCCGATTTGAAATTAAAAAATAAAATGTAAAGCATTACATGTCAGGATAAAAAACATTTTTAGATAAAGAATCTAGTGATAATAGCGATAATAATAAGAATCTAGATAATAATGTATTGCAGTAGAGTAATGTCAATAAAATAATATTAGAAACATCCTAAAAAGTGACAGCGGCCGACTAGATTTTTTCCTAAAAAAATTAGAGCAGCCTACTAGATTCTTTATCTAAAAATGTCTTTTGTCCTGACATGTAATGCTTTACATTTTATTTTTTAATTTGAAATCGTTGAGTTTTATTAAAAAAACACGAGAGATAAAAAAGTTTCTAAACAAACCAAGCTATCCAAATTAATTTTTTTGCATGGGTTTGATAAGATTTTTCTTTAAATTTCGTTAACAAGAATGATAGGGGTAGTTTATTTCAACCCCTTCCACTCATTTTAAAAAAGTGAAAAAGTTACTAGAAAGTGTGTTTTCATAACAGAAATGCTCCCATAAAATTCCATTAGTCTATCTCTTTTCGTTTTCAAGATAAAAAATAAAAACATTATTTTTCCGCCATCTTTGTACCGCGATATCTCCCTAATGGTTGACTTTTGACGCAACGTTTATGAAGCAAACTACCCTTTATTTTGAACAAGAAATCGCCTGCTGCAGTTTTTCGCATTTGTTTTGAAACACCCTGTATAAATACAGTTATATGACAGCATCCAAGTGTGCTTGGTCCAAGTACCTTTGATCATGTCATCCCAGCCTTTTTAGGACCACCACCATACCAAAATTTCAAAAAAAGAGTAGCTTTTAGCTTGTAAAATAATGTCGTTAATTAATTTAAAATTGTTTATTTTCCTTTTTTGTTATACCTGCAATTTCTTGAAAACTACAGTAGCATTAAAAAAATGTAGAATCAGTGTATCTAATATACTTAAAATAAGTTTTAGTTTTGGCGGCACCAAAATCATTGAAGACCTGTGATTCTAGATGTGATTTCTAGATTCTATTGTAGACCTGTATTCTACTAGATAGTGATTTCTAGATTCTATTGTAGATCTGACATTCTACCATTAGCTTATTCATTCATCAATTCATATTAATTTCAGCTTGCGGGATCATCAATTCAACGAGCGCAATGCACAACGAGAGCTACGTGCAGAAAACCGAATCAAAGATATCTTTGTCTCAAATTCCTCCATCTTATTCCACTGTATTGAAACTGGGACCTCCGATTACCATTTTCAATTCGAGAACGTACGCATCCGTACCATTCATAGCCAGGCCACCACCGCCATCCTACGCAGAGGTACATGGGTGGGACGATAACCCCAGCATCGTATCATGTAAGCTCTACATCATATAAGCACCAGATAACACATAATTATATTATCTATGATTTAAGTCAATAACTAATAGTTATCATCGTTACATGGCTAATTTTTTGTGTGAAGTATCCTTTTGTGTAGCCATTATGAAATAGTCATGTCTGCCAGCGCGATCCCGGGGCTTAAAACGGGGGCGGCCAATCAAAAGGGTGAAATTTTGTTACTAAAAATATTATAAAATACATGAGTTATAATTGCGAAAATAGCTTTTATTTATTATTAATGTTGCTGCCCCGTGCCGTGTGAACTCAGCCTTAGGCCTGGCCAATCGCCTATGACTCATACGCCAAGCAATGCCGACATTCTAAGAACGAATAAGAATTTACTAGACAAATCTGGATTGTCTGTTTCTCTCCTATATAAGCAGACGCCGGGGCCTAAGAGAGAGAGAGAGAGAGATAAATAACCGTAAAGATAATAATAATAAATAAATTCAAAATAAATTTCTGTTAGATAAATAATTAGATAAATTGTAAATAAGTTATAAATAGTTCTTTAAGTCGTTAAATCGTTATTGTTTTTTGTTAATTAGTGCTAAATAAATTGTGACTGTATCCACACGGAACCGACGAAAAACGTAACAATTGGTGTCAAGTGTGGCGTGTGTGATAGACTAGAAAAATAAAAAGACTGACGATGGCTCCGAAAAAATTATTGAAAGACCTGAAAGTGTCGGAATTAAAATGCATACTGGAAGAGAGGGAATGCGAGACAGATGGAAAGAAAAGCATTTTGCAAGCGAGACTGAGAGACGTTTTGATTGAGGAAGGTGAGGATCCTGACACATTTTGCTTTGAGTTGGAAGGTGACCTTGACTGGTCCTTACAAAAATTAGAAGACAGTTTGAATGATAAAATTACAGGAAATTCTCAAAAATTAGAAGACAATTTGAATAGTAAAATAATTGACTTGGAAGTTAATTTAGAAGAGAAAATCAGTGATAAAATTAATATTTTAGAAGATAAGATCGCAGAATATTCTAAAGACATACAGGCCAGCTTTAATAATAAAATAATTAATTTAGAAGAAAAGATAACAGAAATTATAGAGAATTCTACGGAACTACAAGACAAAATAACACAAATTGAAGATGATGCAAACAGAAAAATCGAAATTTTACGGGAAGAAATAACGAAGTCTTTTTATCGTTATTGTTTTTGTTAATTAGTGTTAAATAAATTGTGACTTTCTATCCACACGGAACCGACGAAAAACGTAACATTAAGAAACGTGGAAAATTGTTGGCAGACATTTTTCTAGTCGCTAAAATGCCGACAGACAACGCGAAAGAGGCATGAAATTTCAGCCACGAGAAAAATGTCTGTCAACAATTTTACACGTTTCCTAATAATAAATAAAAGCTCTTTGGCAATTATAACTCGTGTACCTTATAATATTTTTAGTGTTAAAATTTCACGCTTTCGATTGGCCGCCCCCGTTTTAAGCCCCGGGATCGCGCTGGCAGACATGACTATTTCACAATGGCTACACAAAAGGATACTTCACACAAAAAATTAGCCATGTAACGATGATAAGGTTTTATATGTAGCCAGCTCTCGGTCTATAAAGAATACAAGGACAAATAACACCTGAGTAAATTAATTTTTAATAAAATTAATTTATTTTTAATTTTAAATTCATAATCTACATAACTACGATTCGCATCTCTTAATAAAAAAATTATACAGGGTTGTTCACCACATACGACACGGAGTATTGTAGCTAAACGATGAGATTTTTACAAATTGTAAGTTTTGGGTTCGATGAAAGACTATTAGAGGTACAATTTAAAAGTAATTTTACAAGATGCAGAGTGTCCCAAATAAGTAAAAAATATCATAGTTGTATTTTTTTAAATGAAACACCCTGTATATTATTACATTTTTAGTTTCTAATATTAAATTAAAGGTAAATTTGATTAAGATTTATTATACTTAAACCTTACCGTTTTTGAAATATTTTCAATTTTGTGAAATTGCAGTAAAAATTTTAAGGCTTCGTTTCTCCAAGGGTATCAAAGTTTTTGATACTAAATATTTACTGAAGTTTATTTACTGATCAGTTATTGTGTTGCAATAATAAAAATAATACTACCTTATACAGAGTGTCTAAAAATTTATTTTAAATAATTATTAGCTTCAAACGGCAATAACTAGTTTAATTTAAGTGGAACACCCTGTATATTTTACGAGAATCAGATGCACAATTTAATTGTCTATCAAATTATATTATACCATTTTTTACCTATCTCTTTAAGTTTCCGTAGAAAATGCATTTTCTTGTAATTTAGAACTTATTTATCAATATACCCATGGACTATTGACATTTTAGATTATTTTTAAAGATGTCCCAAATTTTTAAAGAGTACAGATACTAATATTGTCGATATAATTCGTTTATTTCATTAAAAAATAAAAAAAAACTGTTTAAATATTTGTTAAAGAGGATCAATTAATATGATTCCAGTATTCAAACTACATTAACTGACTGCGTTGATTAATAATAATTGCTCCAAATACTAAAAAACTGAATTTTGTATGGGCATTAGACAGTGTGATAAAAAGTAACACCTTAAAAATGATATTTCATTTTTTAATAAATGCTTATTTATAACAACAAAGACTTTAATTTGATAACTTATTATTATATTGATTTCTGACTCAAATCCACATTTATTTATAATAATTTATTAACGAACACAATTAAGTATGTATTTAATTAGTATATGGGCGGAAATAATGGTGTTATATTTAATTAATGGTAAACTCTTTTATAAAGATTTAAATAGTTTTCTTTTTGCATACAAATGGGCCAGTAATATTATCGTTTTGCTAAAAACGATAATATTACTAGTCTGTACATTTTGTACATTTGTTGCTTTAAAAACAATCTAAAATGTCAATATTCCATGGATATATTGATAAATGAGGTCTAAATTATAAAAAAATGCATTTAACATGCCTAAAACTTGAAGGGATAGGTAAAAAATGGTATAATACAATTTGATAGACAATTTAATTGTGCATCTGATTCTCCTAAAATATACAGGGCATTCTATTTAAATTAAAGAAGTTATTGTCGTTTGAAGTTAATAATTATTTAAAATAAATTTTTAGACACTCTGTATAAGGTAGTATTATTTTTATTATTGCAACATAATAACTGATCAATAAATAAACTTCATTAAATATTTAGTATTAAAAACATTGATACCCTTTGAGAAATGAAGCTTTAAAATTTTTACTGCAATTTCACAAAATTGAAAATATTTCAAAAACGGTAAGGTTTAAGTATAATAAACCTTAATCAAATTTACCTTTATTTTAATCGTAGAAACTAAAAATGTAATAATATACAGGGTGTTCCATTTAAAAAAATACAACTTTGATATTTTTTATTTATTTGGGACACTCTGTATCTTGTAAAAATATGTTTAAATTGTAGCTCTAATAGTCCTTCAACGAACCCCAAACTTACAATTTGTAAAAATCTCATCGTTTAGCTACAATACTCCGTGTCGTATGTGGTGAACAACCCTGTACAATATACACTAAATTTTTTATTTTTTTTCAGCTGATTCAATGTTATTTGGGCCAGGACCAACCTACCTCACCTGTCCAAGATGCAGGACAGTCATTATATCGGACGTACGGCCAGAACACTCCTGTTTGTCGTACTTAACCTCATTTATACTGTGTTTGTGCCTGTGCTGGCCCTGTTGTCTCTTACCATTCTGCCTAAGAGCATGCAGCAACGTGTATCATTACTGTCCACGATGTAACACCTATTTGGGCGTGTACAAACCTTGTTAACGGGGAATTTTTTGGTTTAGAACATAGACTTAAAATAAAATATAGACTACACTATTTACATCTCAACGCGGTCAAACAATCTTTTTTGTACACATGTTTACTTCTGGGTACAGTCGACCGAGCCTTCCTCATCCAGCCTATCTTGTCACGTCTTTAATATTATCAATATTTTTTTTCTTGTTATACGCATATATTGAGATATTAATACTACAGGTTAATAAAGTAGGTTTTAATATTCCATAGATGTATTAAATAGTCCTTATACTACTAAATTATAAGTCGGATACTGTTTAAAAAGGATAAGTTCTTTACAATATGACAACACCGATTAGAGGCGAGGGAGCCTATTCATTCATTTATTACCTTGTAGTACGTGTCGCACGTGTGCGGTAAAGCTTTGTTGCCGCTATCTCCCCGGCTGTATTAACGCATTTTCTTAGCTTGTAGTGCTTAAGTGTTTATTTTATTGACTTTTTCTGTTCAAGAACTATAAAATATGGTTCGCCAGTGCCAAATTTGCAAGAAATTTGACTTAAATAATCCATTTAAGTCTTGAAACGACTTTTGACCGGTAGGCAACTCTCAATTTACCCATTGGGAGTCAGTGGCGTTGTTGTAGAAAGGCGCTTATTTAGATAATATTTTAGTAAAATGTAAAATCTGAATTTTTTCTCTTACATTACATTATTTACTTACTTACATTGTAACAAAATCATAATTATAACCCTGTTAATAATTAATAATGTTTTTATTAAAAATATATTCCGGTTTATTCTAAAATTATCTTCAGAATCTAAAATAACATACAAGAATTTTAAAATGATATTACATTATGAAACAATATTTTTTAATATACCGGGTCGTCTCAAAAGTGGCTCACCCCTATAACTTTTTTATTTTTTCAGATAAAAAAAAACAGATTTGTATGTTAGTAGGTATATGACATAAATTAGGATTTATTGACATATTCAATTGTTTTTGGTCTCTTCCTGTTTCACCGAAATGATTACATCTTTTGATTTTTAAAGGCACCTTCGGTATATTGCTACTTTATTCGATAAAAAATGACACTCTGAATAGAATGACATATCATATGTCAACTTTTGACATTGTCGCTTAAAAACAAATCGTATTTTCAATTTCAATCCAGGGTGCCATGGTGTTGTTAAAAACACTAAGTTTTTAATCAAGGAGCCTTGGAAAATAGTTTTGATCGTCTAATGGGTTTCGTGTCTTGTCTAGGCCGGTTAAAAGATGTACAAATCGTATTTTTATCATACATATGTCAATTTTTTCAAATGGAACAAGGGTGACTCATTAGCATATTTGGAAAAAGCATTTTTTTATGAATATATTGATACCACACACTTGGTATTTCGAGTCAAATTGTCGTTATGAACCGCGTGTTACAATTACAATTAAACCATATGCGAAAATGTCAAAAGTTGACATATGATATGTAATTTTATTCAGAGTGTCATATACCGAGGGTGCCGTTTAAAAATTAAAAGTTATAGTCATTTCCGGTGAAACAGGAAGTGACCAAAAACAATTGAATGCGTCAATCAATCCTAATTTATGTCATATACTAACATACTAAATCTTGTTTTTTTATTTGAAAATATAAAAAAATTATGGGGGATGAGCCACTTTTCGGACGCACCCGGTATAATAAAGACAGTACCGAGTTAAATAAATGTAGTTTTCATTTTATCCACTTCCTATCACCTTCCTTGCATTAATGGAACAGATTTATGTTTTCTCTATTTTACATAATAAGACATCACTTAACCAGAAAAAAAATTACAACAATCATTTTTTTTTCTCTCCCTGTCGCCGATTCTATTTATCTGTGGAATAGATCCTATTTTAATTAATATTAGGGGTTGTAAATGTTTGACTAAAATTAATAATTTATTATTAATTTCAAAAATTACGTAATTTCGATTATAAAATTTCTTCTATAACGTGTATTTTATTATTTTTATCCTTTTGGACTCTAAGACGTTTTTCTAAACTTTTTAAAAACCTGTCCTAAATCTTAATAAAATATAAAAAAGTTTAAATACGATAATTTTTAATTTAATTATAGCTTCATTAAAATAAAAAAATTACCCGGCTATGATACGGAGAGTTCAGGTGTACTTGAGAAACGAAAGACAGTGTTGTGTTTCTCGGCAGAGTCGTCAGGGAACGACCGTTACGACAGAGACAATCTATCTATCGCTCGTGTCGCACTCGTTATAACCTAAAACAATAACACAACAATAACCAGACATTGTCTGACCGCATGTTCCAGCTATTTATGAATGAGATGCTCAGTCTATATTTTATTTTAAGTCTATGGTTTAGAACCTTTACAAAATTGATATTTTTTAGGGAGTAATAAATAAAAAACAATACTCATAAATGTTTGCCTTTATTTTCGTTTTTTTTTGTTATGTACGTAAATACATTTTTTTAATTAACAACCCATGTTACAAAATATATAACAAACAAGATGTTACATAACATATGCAACTTAACATACCGACAGTCCCGCGATTTTGACATTCAATAAATGACAGACCGAACTGTCACTGTCAGGGACCAATAACTAAAAGGATACAAAGACCAACAACACCAGAAACTAAATTGTTACCGGTTTACACCGAACAGTGCCGTGCCTTGTATTGTTTAGTTATTGCTCACATAGTAAAGACTTTTATGTTGATAATATAATAATATACTATTATTTAAATAAAAAGCTTAAAGTAAATGAAATAATGAGATTTTACAATACAGGTAAATGTAGATACCGTAATATCCATATAAAAAAATATCAAAAATATTGCCGGAAACTTATTCTATAACGTTGAGCAAAGGATCATCGAAAAACTTTAGTAAAATTGATCGATACCCACGGTAGGATCGAACTTAATTTCAACATTGCCCAACTCGTTTCTTGCTTGTTCTGCACCGATTTTGATCCTGTTCAGATTGATTTCATTGTCGTTGGTAAACAGCGGACAACTGCGAAAGAAAACGTTCATTTAAAGTAGATATGTTGAGAAATATCGATACGTAAATTATCGATATTCAGAAATATCGATATTTTAAAAATTGGTACTCCATCTGACAGCAGAAAGTTAAAAATAGGTACATTTAAACTAGAGCTGTTTAAATATATCGATATATAAATTATCGATACACATAAATATCGATACCTGAAAATCGATACTACATTTAAAAAGACGCTTAAAGTAGAAATGTTCAAATGCATCGATAAAGGATTATCGATATACCGAAATATCGATACTTTTAAATCGATATTACATATAACAACTGCAAAAGAAAAAACATTTAAAGTAGAGATGTTGAAATATATCGATACATAAATTATTGATAAATAGAAATATCGATACTTTAAAAATCGGTATTACATCTGATAACAGAAAATTAAAAATAGGTACGTTTAAACTAGAGCTGTTCAAATATATCGATATATAAATTATCGATACACAGGAACACTGATACTTTAAAATCGATACTACATCTGACAACTTCAAAAAGTAAAAAGTAAGTTTATAGTAGAAATGTTCAAAGGCATGATACATGAATTATCGATATACCAAAATATCGATACTTTAAAATCAATATTACATATAACAACTGCAAAAGAAAAAACATTTAAAGTAGAGGTATCCAAATATATATTTTTTTTAAATCGATACTATAATCTGACAACAGAGAATTGGATAATTCAAATTAGAGCTGCTCAAATATATCGATACATAAATATCGATACTACATCTGGCAACAGAAAAATAAAAATAGTTACATTTAAAGTAAAGCTATTGAAAATATCGCTTATCGATCTACCGAAACATCGATACTTTAAAACCAATACTGCTTCTGACAATTGCAAAAGAGAAAATCCTTACATATAAATTAGAGATGTTTAAATATATCGATATATCAAAAACACGTGAAAATATTTGTAGAACTAGAAAGATTTTTTAGATAACTTACCGTCCAGCACCAAAATGTTCATAGCCATTGATAGCAGCAGAACAAATGTAACACATCAATGCCCCGCAAGTACAAGCCATCTTATTGCAGCCGTTAGTTTTCACATACTTCTTTTTACACTTGTGACATGTCCTAAAACATTAAAATAAAAGGCTATTTAGACTCCTTTTTTTTTGGAAACTATTCTATAGAAACGTAAATATACTTTTGAAAACCACTACACCTAACAGTGATACAAAAATTAGTTCAGTAACACAGTACTAGTGATGGGCAATATTATCGATCTCGAAAAAGTCGACACATCTCGTGATAAAATCTTATTTGAAGATTTTAAAACTCGATTTGTAAATTTTAAAATTTTCTACGACCCATTATGATAAATAAAATAAAATTAATACCTTGTCAAAGCTTCAGTCATCTTATCTTCTATATAGGTTCTACGCCTAACGTCTTCATCGTATTCAATCTCGCTACATTTCTTCGGAATATGAGACTCATGCCTACATTGCCTGTAACAATTAAGAAATATTTCTAGAACATTTAAAAAAAAGCGTCTAAATATTATTCCCTTAGTGGAAAGACGTTGCCAATTTTATTTAACAATTCCTTATTTCCCAAAACGTGTACTAATATGATGTAGGGTAAACTCAATAATTTGTTGTTTTATTTTACGTTGTCAATAAATGTTGGTAGTTATTAAAATTGTCATAAAAATATATAATTTTAATAAAAATAGATAAGTTATGATAATTATTTATTAACACAAACATCCGATACGCTACTGAAGCAGGGAAGTCAAATTGACGTGTTTACATTCTTTGACATCTAATCTTTGACAAGTAGTAAATAAAAGCAAAAACGCAAGAAAAGGCATATAATCAGTTAATTTTCGCGGCGCGACAAAGGAGCAGTTACCAGTGATGCGGGCTCTCTTGGCCGACGCGACGGTTGGGCTGTCGATGGAATTGTCCAAATACATAGAAAAATAGCGAAAAACAAAATACGTATTGACAATTGTCGAGTGAAACATGTATTTTCTTAGATTGAAAGTAGTTCGGAAAGTGGCGGTAAGAGACAATAATTCTCAACATTTATTCATTCAGAAAGGTATTCAAAGTAATGTGTGCTTTTCAAGGTGTTTTGTAAATCAGTGGTTCAAATTGTGATGAGGCCTATATGAAAATAATGTGTTAAAAATGGGGACTGTTATTTTAGTAGTTATTATAATAGCATGTACAAGTAAAGCAGCACAGTGAAGTGTATTTTAGTTAAGTGTATATCGAAAAAGAGAACTGTCACAGTTACATCGATCTGTCATAAGTATCTTTTTTAATGTTGGGTAAGTTTTTTAATTTAACTTTTTTAACACATTATTAAACATTTAACTTTTAATTTATTTTATGTAATAATATCACAATCTTAAAAATGTAATGCATCTCTGCAAACTCCTCAGGTGTTGTGATTTTATGACTTATTTTTAACATATACTTTCTTGTCCATATGGCAACACAGTGCGTCAAATTAACTGAAATCCGGGCTTGATCCGGGTAATTGGATGTAGTTGGCGATAATCTGCCGGCGGTTCTCATAATGTTGCAATTATTTTTTTAAATTTTCAAAGTTAAATAACTCGGTTATTTTCAATTTATTTTAAAAATGGTAAAGAGAAAATGTGTTTATTTTGACCAGATCTACCACCCCTTAAAATATCTGCACTCATTTCTGGGACACCCTGTATAATAAATAACATATAATAAGCTCCGTAAAGACTGACAAATCCACAAAATTTCAAATCAAATTCAAATGTGTCAAATGAATCGTCAAACAGAACTGTCAAGAATCAAACCCTAGGGCCCTTTGTTCGTCTACCATGCATGAATACATGGATAGCATTATAACTTATAGGCGAACCATACATAGGCATACCTGCAAGATTCCTTAAGGCAGTCCTCGTTCTCACACTTGAAAACTATAGAGCCCTCTGGCGGAATGGCGGTATAATCACAAAACGGGCAGGTTTCAACGCCATCTACATCAGCTTCTTTGATTTCCTCACTTTGAATTTTGAGCAGAACTTTTGCAAACGTTTGTGCAGACATAACGTGCTACAAAAAAATCAGACTTCTGATATAGGTATACCGTCATAATTTCATAGTTTTCGCCTTACCTGTATACTGTGTAACGTAAATTGTGAATCACAGTCGTTGGCACAGGGAAACTTCAGTATGGCATCCGAAACTCTAACCTAAATTAATAAATATACAGGGTGTGAATAAAATATGTGCGAAAAGATTGCAAAGCTATTTGATTATAGGCCAGGGTTGTCGCATAAATAAGTATATAATCCACTCACAGAAACAAGCCGCTAAGTATAAATATCGTAATCTTATATCATACAGGGTGTTCAAAATTCTACGCTAAACTTTCTAAAATAAAAAATAATTTTTCTTTGTTTTTTTTTAAATAGTTAAAAAAATAACATTTTTTTTTTGTATTTAAAGAATTTCAAAATTTTTAATGGCTTCGCAGATACACGCAGATTAATTCATATGACTTTTTCAACGGCAAAATACCAGAGAAAAATCACTGGGTAGCTTTGATAAAAACATACTGTAGAAAATGCCATTATAAAATATAAAACCACGAATATCTGGTAAACCGTTAAACATTTTGAAATACTCTAAACACAAAAAATCTTCATGAAAAAATAATATACAGGGTTCCATTTAAAGAAACGAAGCAGAATTATTTTATATTTTAGATAGTTTGACGTTGAATTTTCAACACCCTGTATGATCTAAGATTACGATATGTATAGCAAAGTAAGTACAGACCAATTATAGTAAATCCCTGGTGTAGTTTTGATTTTAGGACATTTCTTGTATTTTTAATATATTTTTTTAAAAATGCCGAAAAATATAATTTTTTTATTTACACTTCCCCAATAAATTAACGCACCACAAAAAAATAACCAAGAGTTTAAGTTAAGTTTTTGTCAAAACCACTTATCCGATTTGGACGATTTTTTTTTTGAATGATAGGTTATTATTTCCACAATGTTGCTATACTAACTGTATTTTGATAGGAATCCTTTTTATACTAATACCGGGTGTAGCAATTATAACGTGTTTTTTTAATAAAATTTGTGACACCCTGTAGAGTTGATCAGTTACAGTATCAAGTTAAAATTGAAATCACATTTTAGCCTTATCTTTTTTTATATTTAGTTTTTTTATTTACTCCATTATCTTCCTTATTACACGAGAAACAACATTTTATAGGATGACATCATTTAATATTGGTTTTAATTAACATTTTTCCATTTTACTCACTAAATAAGTAGCAGGCTATGGAAAAACACGGATTACCAGTAAATGTCAAATAGAGATGCTAGTTTCTGTGCAAACTTGTAGACCATTAGTATCTCTGAGCTGAGTTTGAAGGGTCCGAGCTGTTACGAAACGTTGTCTTAATGTTGAGAGTTTTAAAAAAACGTTCCTGTATCGGTTTTTCGATTCCCGGCCTGCGACAATTACTGCCAGTATCTTTATACCGTTGTATAACTCGTGAAATGGTTGAGTGAGTTACATTAAATCGTTCACCAATTCTTCGGTAGCTCCAACCTTCCTCAGACAATATTAATGCTTGGCACATTCTTCGCCAGTAAGATTTCTTGTTTCACGTGCACGTTGCATATTTTTGAAATAAGAAAGGGACGAAAACGACTGACACTGACAACAAGCATCTCTATTTGACATTTACTGGTAATCCGTGTTTTTCCATAGCCTGCTACTTACTTTAGTGAGAAAAATGGAAAAATGTTAATTAAAACCAATATTAAATCATGTCATCCTATAAAATGTTGTTTCTCGTGTAATAAGGAAGATAATGGAGTAAATAAAAAAACAAAATGTAAAAAAAAGATAAGGCTAAAATGTGATTTCAATTTTAACTTGATACTGTAACTGATCAACTGTACAGGGTGTCACAAATTTTATTAAAAAAACTTAAAACATACTTTAGGTTCTCGCTTAAACAAAATTCCGAAGTTTTTTTTATTATAGGAGCTACAGGTGTAATTAAAAAAATATACTAACCTCTACATATTTTGACAAACAGTCCTTACAAAAAACACATCCCTTCTGACAGTAGTTACACTCCTCAGGGATGAGCTCTTCATCGCAAATCACACAATTCTCCAACAGATTTAGTTTCTTGGCATTTTCCTTAAAGTTCCTATACGTCACATCCCGGTACTTCACAAACATTCTTATCAGTTTCTTATGCCTCAAATAGGCTATTTCTTGTAATAAGGGTAGATTTTTGGTATCGGGTAACTCGATGGGGTATCTGGGCACTTTCAGACCTTTGTAACGAATACTATTGAGCATATCACAGCACTGGGACAAGTTCTTCTTTTTCATCGCAAAAACTAGGTCGATGTGACGTTTTCTTATACTAGGAAAATTGTTATATAAGAATGTTTTGGCGCAGAGTATGTCGGATTCTGGCACATCGTCTTCTAGTAAAGGGTTAGGACGACATGGGTCTTGAAATACGCCTTCTGGACTCGGGAAGATCTTCAAAAATGTCTCTATGTCCAGTTGGTCGCTTTTGTATAAGCTCAGCTGGTCATCTTCTCTTTTTTTGCTACAAAACATGTTTGCTACAAAACGTTTGAATCACCCTGTATATTAGGATGGGTCAAAAAATCGACTACTTTCATTTCACTTTATATTCTGAAAAAACGGTCGGTAGAAACCTCAAAAAAATTCTGTCCAATTGATTTTTTTTTTGACCCACCCTATTGTATATTGATAAAAATATTTATATCTCCATATCACATTTTCTATTTGAGGCTCTAGCTCATGAAAACATGCCTATAAGGGCTCGAACACACTGACGACCAAAACGTGACTTAAACATTCATAAAAATAGAAGTATTTACTGTTGTAGATTCTCAGTAACAATAAAAAAGAATCTTCGTCACGTCTTTTACTGTTTTTTTTACATTTTTAGCGTGTATATAAAGAAAATTAGGATTTACAGTAACCAATGTGTTTGACTGAAGCATTGCGAAAAATAAATATGAACAGAGCCTTTTTCAGAATACTGGATCACCCCGTATTTACTGCCATACCTTTTATAGTCTTCTAACGTAGGGTAGTCGGGATTTTCCAAGGCCGAATCGACGAAATTCTCGATAGCGCTCATCCCTACCAAAACCACCTTTTTGGCCTCTTCTGCCAGGTAATCGGGACACGCATTCGGCAAGGCTTCTTTGAGTGTCTCCAAAACAACTTCCCAATTTGTAATTCCCGAATCATATCCTTTAAGAATCATATAAAAAATATACAAAGCGGATCATAAGTAGTGTTAAAAAAATGTTACAAAAAAAAACTTCTTACATGCCTATATTTTGAGTGTATCCAACGTGAAAAACAAGCAGCATTAAAAAAAATAAAAGATACTGTAAATTTAAAAGTGTATCACCTTCACAATAAACATGTTTTAGTACAGGGTGAGTCACCAAAAAAATCAAAATTCTGTAATAACATTGTGTACGTTACAGTTTTTACAAAACACCTTGTACACAAGAACATAATTTTAAATTATATTTAGCTTAACACTCCCTAAAACTATTTTATAAGCTAATATAAACACATTTGCTCCTGACTCTGGAATCAAATGATATTGTTGACTCACCCTGTACGATGTTACCATACCTACAGCACCCTCTTGATCATCGTAACTTGTTTCATATAGTAAATTTTGCCCATCCCCGCTAAGCAAATCAACCATGTACTCAATTTTCTCTTCGAATGTTCCTACTTCACATATACCTTCCCCTATATTCTCGTTGACCATATCGATGATATTCTCAATGTCCCTTACTCGACGATGTGGAAAAATATCACACAAAACCCTTAAATATGGAGTGTCATCCATGTTTTTTTCTTCTAATGTTGTATTATAAAACTCAGTAGAGGTATTGTGCGAAAATGCAGTTTGCTAAAAATAAAATAACCTAAAATCTGTGCATGTATTTCTACCATTTACTTACCCCTGTTTATACCATTCAATAATATTTAGATTCTATCTTTTAAGAGACGATTTTTTTGCCTGCCATTTTTAATGCCGCCCGGGTTTCCCCTGTAAAATAAATCTATTGTCCCTAATATGCCCACTTGACACATGCAAATAACAGTTTGCAGATAAGAAAAAAGCTGTGATTTAAGAAACATAGATAAGAATAGTAAACAAAATACTTGTTTATATATACTTGTTACCCTTTGTTACCCTTGTATAGGATATTACAAGGATATTACCAACTAAAATACTTTTGGGTATACCTACTTTTGTTCTCTGATTTAAGAAGGATTTTATAATAAAAAATATATACAATTTTACGTCTCATTTACAAAATAAATTGCAAAGTGTTATTTTACCTTTTTGCAAAAATACAATGAACAAGCTGATTTATAAACACTGATAACTAATTTATAAACACTGATAAGATTATAATTTTGTGTTTTCGTTCAATATGATTTAAATTCAAATTTATTACAGTATTGTTTTCTCCTATTTTACATCCTTTTTCAACAAATATCACTACAGATTAAATGTGGATTAAATCATAGGATTAAATGTATAGTATATGACCGTGCGTGTATATCTGGTTGTCTATCCGTTTGGCATTGCAACTGTCCTGTTTTTTCAAAAGATGGCAGAAAAATCAAGATTTTTTAGTAAAATCCCTGTCTTTCTAAAGTTCTTTGATTTAAAAAAGTATCATAATTATTTAATGGCGGGAAAAACTGTATTATCTGTCTTTAATTATTACCAATCACGCTTGAATGTTCAAACAATCAAAATTTATAAAAAAAACAATCTCTACAAAATTATTTAGTAATTGTGCTGAGATTTGGATCAATTTCTATAATATTTTATGGTGAAAATAAGTATAATTTTTAGGAATACTTAATAGAATTTTAATTTTTTAGATGTAGGTACATTTATTATAGCCCTTGTATAATATAGACAAGGTTATAACGTATTCATGCAGTATAGGTATGTTCTATAAAATTAAAAATGCTTAACAGAAATAAAAAAAAACATTCTTACTATTCGTATAATTCTAATTTTTTTTTACAGTTCCTAAAACATTACATACAAATATTTTCTTTTAAAAATCTTTAACAATATAAAATAAACATTAATATAAATTTATTTTTATTATATAAACATAAGGCTAACGTGTAGTCAGCGCCATTAAAAATATAATAGAAGAGTACGGGCCAAGTAAATGACTTCTAGAGCTTGACCCTTCCAAAATTACCATCGATTGTCATTCCCCAGCCGTCTTTGACGCCGTTTTTTTATCTATCGTAGGGTATATTAATGAACTATACAAAAAAATTAAATTCCTACAATGAAATTTGGTACTTAAACTTGAAATTAATCATTTTTACAACACAAGTTGTTTTTTTATTTATTAACTTGGTATCTTCATTAGGGATGGGCTAAAAAATCGATCATTTTAAATTTCGATTGGCTTGTCTATTATGTGTAACTTCCTAGAAAAGCATTGCAGCTTGGACAGGTATGCTTCTTTTCTAAGCATGAATCCATACAGTAGGGGACACATACGCATGGCCAGCAACTAAAAATAAATATATTTTTTGTATTAACTAAAAAACTTAAAAAATGAAAAAAAAAGTACCCGAGTAGACATAGCAAAGCAGCAAATAAATGGGTCTTGGTGCTTGCTGATTTTTCTACTGACGTAGTGACACTTGCATGACAGTGAGGACAAGTTACATGAGCTGGATTTGGACCATACATCGTAGGAGTCGCGGATACCACCACTAAAATCAAAAAAAGAATTTTAAATAGAGACTAATAGAATAAAATCCTAATATATTTTTGATACCAATTAAAAATGTATATGTTTTTCTCAGTAGTGTAATACAGATTACAGACGAAAAGTATTAAAAAATGAATCTCCGATTCCGGAAACGCTAAATCCAACTGACTTTGGATATACTATACCTGTTGCTACCGTTACAGGACCACCATGTGGAGGTGGTGGACCGCCGTGTGGTGGAGGTGGGTATTCCCCTGGAGGGTACACGCCGGGCTGTGGAGGTGGTACAAAACCAGGGGGGCCTGCTTGGTATGGTGGGGGGACTTGCTTTTCCATCTCGAAAACTAACTAAAAAATATGACGCACTGTAAGTTCGTTGTGGACAAGAGAATATTATTAATTTTTAGTGATCCAAGGAGGACATACTATAACTGCTATATACATATTTTAAATAATTTATTAATATTTTTCTTAGAGGGGTATTTACCCCCATTAAAGTATGAAAAATTTAAAATTAAAATTAATTATTTTTTATTATGAGACTTTTTTTAAACTTTACTGCTTTATTGTGAGAGATTTTTTTTTAAACTTTATTTTGGTAGGGATATAATTTTTATATTTCACCGAATAATATTTATAGCATAAGCATTCTGGAATTAATCTTCTTGGAATGATGTCAATAACACATTTATTACATATTAATCAGGATTAGATATATAATACTGATAAAACTTATCATTAACTTCCAAGTATTTTAATACGGTTCACATACAAGTTTTTGGAAATTCCGAACAAGTAAAAGCTTTGAAATCCTAAAAAAAAATATTTATGTAAAGTTTGTCTGCCGAAAGAATCCATGACAGTGAGAGTTGTCGTCTGTCGTTTTAATTAACAGCTGAATTGTATTTTCTGCCATTGTTTGGATGTCATCTGACGAAATTTTTCCTTGACTTTTTTGACAGATGGACAGACTTTACTTTAAAGGGTGAATTAAAGACAGTTTAACTATAACTATTTTGCCTTTGTGAGTTCCACTAAAATTTGTACTGCCTAAGTTACAAATGACATCAGAAGTGCATTATCCTCTTTTAACAGAAGAGAGAAAACTTTGACCATTTTATTAGTTACTATGCAGTTTCGTTTTGGCATTATTAAATGCTTAATTTTATTGGTAAAATTAAATATTTCACATCATACCGGGTGTTTCTCAAAAGCGGCTCACCCCTCTTTGTTCAGAAAGTCAAAAGTTGATATGTCATTCTATTCAGAGTGTCATTTTCTATCGAACAAACTAAAAAAATACTGAAGGTGTCATTTAAAAATCAAAAGTTGTAGTCATTTCCGGTGAAACAGGAAGTGATCGAAAACAATTGAATACGTCAATCAATCCTGATTTATGTCATATACTAAAGTACAAAATCTCGTTTTTTGATTTGAAAAAATAAAAAAGATATATAGGGGTGAGCCACTTTTGAGAAACACCCGGTATAAGAAGCGCAAAAAATCAGGAGTTAAAGAAGATCAGTGGGAAAAAACCAGAGTTACAGAAATTACAGATTTCGGAAAAAAAATGAAGAAAATACAATATGATCGAAAAAAAACGGTGTCGGTGATGACTATTTTTTTGTAAAATTATATGGGGAATATCATCAATGTGGTGATTTCCGAGCTAACTTGACGCCGGGTTTTTTCGATCGTACGGTATATATGTATTTTTTATAAATACACTACTTAAAACAATTATCGCATATTTGAATAAAAGTAATTAATACATATTTCTAAATGAAGAATGAAGCATGCATTTTTCTGCCTTTCTCTTGTGATTTTTTTTAGGATAATTAAAATACATGACAAATTAGTACTGACATGAAATTTTTAGTCGGCTGACTATTTAGTTGCAAAAGTGAAAATAATACATTTTTATAGAGCCGATCGGACCAATATTTGATTGCATTAGGCTATACGCTGACAGGCAATTTTTAATCGGCCGATTATTTAGTTGCATATTTGTAACCAATATATTTCTATAGAGCCGCGGTCACATGCAATCAAATAGTCGGCCGATCGGCTCCATAAGTATGTATTGTTATATGTATTGTTTTCACTTTTGCAACTAAATAGTCGGCTGACTAAAAATTACAGGTCACAAAGTGTCCTGTTTTTTGATAATTGTTTTCAGTAGTTTATTAAAAAATGAACAAAATCTTAACTTATAACATGTAAAATTGATATAATTGAAGTTATTGAAACTCACCTAAAAAAATTATGTCCAAGGTTTGAAATAACTGCACCAATATAACAGAAAATTTTTGATAATAATTTGATGCGGCACCTGATTATATACCTAAGTTTTTCTTATGTTTCAGATGTTGTAGTACTCTTTCTGTGAACTAAAATAAGTACGTTCCGGTAATTAATAAAATTTGACGTTAAATGCGATAACGTAATTAAACAAGATATACAGGACCCTATCTAGAACTTACTACAACTACATAATATATTAAAAACTCCCATATAAAATTAAAAATTAAAAACTCGGTCTCCAGTGGGTTTATGCCAAATAAAGGATTGAAACAGAGTTGTTGTCACCAACACTCTTCAAAATATTGTCAGAAAAAACGCTGCTACAATGGAAGCAGAACGTAGCCGTATGGGAATCCCCTTAAATGTCAGAAATTATTTCGAAAAAAATCGAAATAATAATGAAACTTCTACACCCTGTATCTCCAAAATTAATCATTTTAGGACATATATTTATACGAACTTTTTTACTTATTTTTATCTATCTATCGAAGTTTCTAGAATACAGTTCGGACCACCCTGTATATAGATTTCTGCCTCAAGAATGTTGGGGAAGGCACTGTAGACAGATGTCACACAGTATATTTCTATCGTTATTTTTCGAAATAGGTACACCTCTGTAAGTATTTCGACTTTTAAGTTTCTCAAATCTTTTTTGTAATGTTATCAAAAACACATATAGGCTTCTTTTAGTGATAAAACATGCTGCTAAAACATTCCTAAATGCGGCCCTGCATCTAATATATCATTCCTTGAACAGAATCATTGAGTAACAGTAATAAATTCGGTGAAAAAATCGATCAAATGTGCTTGAAGGCTTCTGTTAATAGTGCTAATCCCACCAAATTTAGCCATCTTAATATTATTTTAAAAAAGATTATCTCAGAATTTTGGTTGGTTGCTTTTTAATATTCCCTTTTATTTACATTTTGCTCTATCTAGAGGGTGTACAGGGTGTCCATTTTGGTTGAAATCATACGGTATCTCCGTTATTAGTGAAGATACAGTGGCGTAGTCTGTGATTCTAGAAAAAAATATTTTTAAATCAACTAAAGTTATGTTTTCTTAAATGGAACACCCTGTATATTTATAAATTATATGGTCTGGCTTGCCATAAGCTTCTCAAAAATATATATCACCCTATATTATTTATTTTTACTATTTACTGCAATATTTAAAAGTTTTTATTAAAAGATCATATTTATTATAGTATAGTAGGCCATAATTGATATAATCAAAGAAACTAAAGAATTATTAAAAGTATACTGCTATCTGTCTCTTGTTTTATTTTGTGAGCCAGTAAAATAAATTCTTAGACAGGGTGGTGCACCAATCATTCGCCTCGGTTGATTATATGAAAACGGAAGGATGTAGAAAAAATATATTTTATGGGCGTATGTGGGGAGATAATGTGCACATTTTAAAATTATTTTGAAATATACAGGGTGTTTCAAAAGTAAGATCCATACCAAAGTTATATTTTTTCTTATAGAACACCCGGTATTTTATTTCATTTTTGGATTCTTGGGCCCAAAAAAAGGCATTTATTATAAGGGTTTGATATGTTTAAAGGCTTTGGTTTTTGAGATAATTAAAGATATTTAGATATGCATGCTATAATAAAAAAGTTTGTACAACACCTTGTACATTATTACTTTCCAGAATTAATTCTTGTGCTTACTTTCAAGCCAGAGAAATAAACTGTACTAAACAATTTTATTGCTTCCTTAAATGTATACAGGGGTATCATAAATTGCTGGTTTATTTTAAATATGCTATTTCAAACTATTTTACGGTTTCCTATACCTATCTGGCTCAAATTTTGAATATAAAGCGATTTTTCAATAAAATTGTAATCAAGATAGCTGGTTTTAGGTTTTCTAGTGACACTTAGTAGCTATTTTCAAAATCGACATTAGTTTATGGACTTTATTTAAATTTATAACAGGTTATTTTTATTTAATTTACTTATTTTGTGTATTCTTTATTTAGTTTACCGTGTATACCCTGTATACCAATAATTACAAATGTTTGTCAAGTACACGAGTCGTGAGAATGCGCCGTAAAATAAAACACAGTTTTAAAAAACTATACAGAGAAAATCAAAAGACAATTACAACAGTACCTACAAATTTTATTTATTTAGCTTCTTTATATTTTGTACCTAATAAATACAATAAACATGTATAATTTCTTATTCTAATCTTAAAACAATACAAAACCATAACTAATTTATAAAATTTTATATACAATATAAAAAAAAATGTAAAATATCATCTAACAATTTAAAAATAACGTTGGCCATATTATGTAAACTTAAAACTAGAAATATAATACAATAATGTAAACACAACCTATTTAATAAACATTATTAATAAAATATGTAAAAAAACGAATGTATATAGTAGGAATAATAAGATTTCACTTTGGTATTTTTTTTTCTTTATACTAATACATATATACCTAACATATAAACCTAAAGCCTAAAGTCCATCTATATGTATATAACATTTTACCTATTAAGTAGTTAAAAAAAGGTCAGGTAATACGAATTAAAGACTATCACACACTGGAAGTTTTACAGTTTTTGGAGGAAGCGCCGTATTTATTAATTATAGAGGTATATGTTTAGTGTATGTTAAACAGAAAAAAAACATGGAAATTTCGTAAAATTACATTGTTTTTTTTTAAACTGTGCAAAAATATTAAGTCATTAATTAAAAAAAACTGTAATATATATGTATTATTTTTTGGAAATGTACTCATATTTTTTCAGCAACAAAACGACAGTTTTGTTGCAAAACTGAAAACTGAACACAACGTTTTGCTTGATACGTTTTGACTGGAACAGGTAAGACTGACAGGTAAAACGTTATGTGTAGAGGGGGCTTTAGGAATGAAAAAAAATTAATTGAATTAATTCACATATTACTCTGCATAAGTTCCTAGGTATGCTTTGCAATTTGGGCAGTAATGCTTTTTGTCTAAGCACGAATCCATGCAGTAGGGAAGACATACACAGGGCCAGCAACTGTAAAAAAATCATAATATTAAAATAATTTTTTTTATTATTGAATTATCAAAAAAAGTAATTCGAAATATATTTAGAAAGATCAGTAACAGAAAAATTAAAAATACACTATAACACACTGTTTTTTTTTCAAATATAATTAGTTTATTGAATAAGGTCAATCTCATAATATACCGGGTGGGTCTCAAATAACTGCAAATATTTTTAGAGCTGGTAGATCTCGATAAAACAAACATATTTTCTCTTTACCGTTTTTCAAATAAGTCCAAAATAACCGAGTTATTCAAGCTTGAAATTTAAAAAAAATATATATTTTTAAAAATGTTGAGAGCCACCGGATTTGTTCTTTATTTGCATCCCTTTTAGTTCCGTAACAATGGTAACATCAGAGATTAAGAAATTATAAGGTTGGAAAATTTGCGGTGAACAGGCCGTTCTAAAAAGTTTTCTAAAATATACAGGAAAATTTAAAAGAAATTGCATAGACGTCCCATGTTCCTGGGGTCGAAATATACCACCCCTAAAATATTTGCACTTATTTAAGACTCACCCTGTATATGTAGGTAACAAGCTTAAAAGTTTTTTTACTGAAAACAAATAGTAAATGTAATCACACAATTTTTAAAATAATCTATTATATCTAGTATGACTCGGTATTTGGTTTAATCTTATTAAATAATTGAAAAGTACTATTAAATACACTATCAATACCTCTTGATAGTTTGTGATTTGTTAAAAAAAAGTTTTGATAAATATAACATTTATCTATGTATTTAAAAATATAATAATATAAGTTTATTTCAATTAAATATTTTTCAAATTAATAATTATAAAAAAATGATAACTTCCCGTAAAAATATTGGATTTCTTACTGTAAATTTTAAAGTAAACTATAAATTTAAAGTTTAATTTATAATAATCTTTATTTTTAGTATGGTTATTTGTTTTATTTTTATTTAATAACAATTAAAATACATGATTAATTTTAAGAAAAACCTCGACTATCTCAGATAAGATTTGTTGTCACTGTTTAGTAAGTTTATTTGCTAATGATTTGATTTTCACTGCTATCCCTGAATGGTTTTAGAATAAAAATGTAAAATCATATACATATCAAAATTAAATGAATGAGATGAACAAACAAATAATCAATTATAATGAAAATAATAATAATAGTAGCGTTTGACGCCTTGGGAGTAGCAAGGTACAGCTTGCCATACTAGAGCCGTTCGGTATACAAGGAAGGTAATGTGGCTAGCACTACGCTTCAACCGCCTATTATTACCTCAGGATTGTGAATCCCAAGTACTCATTTAAGGCTGAGTCGACCTAGGTACCCAAACTATTTTTATTTTAATAAAAATAGTCGGCTGATGAAATGCCGGGTGTGGGATTCGAACCCAGTACCTCGCGATTGGTAGACGAGAGCCTGTACCTCTACGCCACCGGGCACCGGGCATAATGAAAATAAATACAAAAAAATAGATATCATGGTAATGGTAATAACGCCCGAATCTTCAGATTGTAGTTTAACCTGAGACTATCCACCAGTTAGAGTTTAAACCATAGAAAAAGGTTTAAACCTTAGATTACAGTTCACTGCAACCTATAAAACCGGCTTTCGTAGGAAATCCCTAGATTAACTACTACCTGAAGATTAAACCCAACGTGAAAAACTAGCCCTAAAAGGTAGAAATCATTGACTTACACAAACAGGCACAAAAGTAACGCGAACAAGTGAGTTTTTGTGCTGGCCTCTGTTTCAACCGAAGTGATGATGTCTGCGTGGCAGTAAGGGCAAGTTGTATGGGCTGGATTCGGTCCTAGAGGCCTAGGAGCTGTAGTTACTATCACTGGAACAAAAAAAATGCATTAAACAAAAAAATATATACCCTTTAGTTATTCTATAATTGATACCAATTAAACTTTTAGTGACGTAATCGAGGGCACGATTTTTAAACTCATTGTTGCCAACCAAGGAGATATTCTACGTAGGACTAACCAGGGAGGTGACAGTGAAATAGGAAAATTGGAAACTGTCAATCCTGTCATTTCTGTCATTCTCCTCACGACAAGTATGGATGCCTAGACAAGGACAGCATTGTTTCTGTCCAACAAATCCAATGACTAAAGAATACAAGGACATGTAACGCCCATATACGGGCTGCAGCAGAATTTGTTACGTTAGACGCCATCATATTGGAGCCTACGGATGAGTCGCCACCTCGTCAACAGCGACAATTTTAGCGATTTTTAATAATTTGTTGTGTGTAGTGAATTTTGTATAAACTTTATTATAATGGTAATGTGTTCAGCTTCCAAGTGTAAAAGCCACAATGATTACAATGATTAGATGATTATTAGGAGTTGCGTTTTATAAGTAAATAAACAGTCACTCCACCTTTTTATCGTTTTCTTATTGAATTTGGTAATTATTTTTCTGATACTATATGTACTTGATATGTGCTAATCGTCGATACTGGTTTTGTACCTTTTGTTAACATTTTAATACGTTTTTTTCGTAATTAATTAGTATGATACCACCGCCTGCACCATAGGCGTAGTCAAAGTCAAAAAAATTATCAAAAATATAAATATCCCTTCAAGCAGCTAAGTTAAGAAAAATATATGGCCACGGCACTGTTTGGAGCCATGGTAACAATTTGGTCTCGGGTGTTATAATATATTAGATATATGTATAGTATTACAGTTGAGGGTTGGAACCTTTGATGTTACACAGCAAAATAAAAACACTAAATCACCACAATACCCTAAAACACACTTTTACTTTTACACTGGACGCGCGTTTCGCTAACCATGTTAGCATCATCAGCAGATGATTATAAACTAAAGTACAATCTACAAGTTGAGCGTTTATATACTCGCCCAGTGGGCACCGAGTGGGCGTGGCAAAATCTAGCCAACCGAGTCAGAGCCCACTGAGCGTAACAGTTAGATTTCCGCCACTAGAGGAGTAGGAACAAAGAACTTGAATGAATTGGACTGTTGTCTCTGTTCATACTATCTTTACATTTATTAATTCTGATGCTTTCATATGCATCTAATTGCCTGTAATTTGAGACTTGTTTAATTAATTTTAAATTATTAAGATCTATACAATGTTCTTTATCAACAATATGTTCGGCAACGCAAGATTTATCCGGTCTACCATATTCTTATCTGAGCTAAATGTTCTTTAAATCTAGTCAATATTGATCTTCTAGTTTGCCCAACATATTTCTGATTACAATCTTTACAAGAAATTTCATAAATACACGACCTTTCCAGTGGAGGTGTTTTATTAGGTAATCCAAAGGATAAATTTACAAATTACTGTAAGTCATGCTTATACCTTACTAATTTACGTTAAAAGTGCGTATAATTAACTAATTGATATTGAAACAATACAATCCTCTATATTTTTATATTTATTTAGTCACGTTGTTCCATATTTCAAATAAATATATGTGAATAAATTATTTTTTTGGTTTTATTTATGATAAGAACAAATACAAAATACATTTAAACTGAAAGAGGGCCCGCCATTGAATAACCGGAAACGATAATAAAAATGAAGCCATCATGTCAACCTATCAATTGGAAAATTAGTTCTCCAGACGACCACGAAGGCTTTTGGTGGCGTATCGTGTTTCCAGCTTTGAATAAGAAGACTAAGGAAGAAGAAGCATAATGCTATCCATGTATTCATGCATGGTGGGCGGAAAAAGGACTCTAGGGTGGGGATCCTTAACAGTTCTGTTTGACGATTCATTTAACACATTTGAATTTGATTTGAAATTTTGTGGATTTGTCAGTCTTTAGGGAGCTTATTTTATGTTATTTATTATTTATTCTATTATTTATTTTTGTTTCCTTAAATATTTTGATTAAAAGAAAATATATATATTAACTGTATGTCCATTCACTCTATATTTACCTGTGTGTCCTACGGTTACAGGAGGTGGCCCAGCATGTGGGGGAGGTGGATATGCCCCTGGAGGATACATCCCGGGCTGTTGATTTGGTACAAAACCAGGAGCGTTTGGGGAATATGGCGGAGGCGCGTCCTTCTGCATCTTGAAATTTTATTGACTGCGAAAAATATAAAGTCCTTAAAAATTCTAAAATCTTGCCTCAAAATAGAGATAGAAATCCTGATATCAAAAGCATTCTAATGATTTGCTTTCGTTGAATCTTAAATCATACAGGGTGTTCAAAATTCCAAGCCAAACTTTTTAAAATATAAAATAATTTTTCTTTGTTTTTTTTAATGTAATACCCTGTATATTATTTTTTGTTAAATAGAGAATTAAAAAATGTAGATTTTTTGTATTTAAAGTTATTGAAATTTTTAGCGGTTTCGCAGATATTAGCGGTATTATACAGGGTGTCCCAGAAATAAGTGCAAGTATTTTAAGGGGAGGTATATCTCGATAAACTATACATATAACATATTATTTTCTCTTGATCGTTTTTCAAATATATTCTCCGTTATTTTGGACTTATAATACTATTACTATTTTGGACTTATAATACTTAAATACAGAGTTATTTTACTATGAAAATTTCCAAAAAAAAATGATTTTTTGCTAAAATTTTTAGTTTTTTCATTTTTCGAGATTTTTTCACGTTTTGGATTTTCTTTCTTGTAAATTTAATCTAATACCTATGTTGCCATATTATCAAGAAATTATGTTTTTTAACTAAAAAAATTCCAAAAAATTTTCAAAAAATTTCGAATTTTAAAAAAAAAATTTCGCGAAAAAAACCTCATAGGCGTGTTTCTGGGGTTGAACTATACTACCAGTTAAAATACTTGCACTTATTTCTGGGACACCCTGTATTACATAAAATGGCTTTTTCAACAGTATTTTTTATCAAAGCCACCGATAAAGATTTTTGACTGGTATTTTACCGTTGAAAGAGCCATTTAAGAAAAAACAAAGAAAAAATATGTTATATTTTAAATAGTTTGGCACGGAATTTTGAACACCCTATATGAATTAAGATTACGATATTTTTAATAAAGTAGAGGGTGGGTCAAATTCGACGCTTTTAAACGGAAACACCCTTTTCTATAGGAGATAGACAAAAACTAATATCGGTGTCTGGAGCTCAATTTTTGCCAAAAACATAAAGGTGAAAACCGCATATCGATATCTGTTACCGGTTCGGAGTTACGGGGTGTTTTTCAAAAATATGCATTTTTAACAAATCGCTGTAACTTTTTTACTATGGAAAATTTTGTATTTTTATGAAAACATTTCCAAAGCACCTTTTTACGAAGAATTTAATGGTTTAAGTATAATTTTTTTATAATTAATAATTTAAGAATTATCAACAGAAAATTTGATTTTTTATATGGGACACCCTGTAGATTTGTAATTTATTGAAAAGAATTTAAAATCACCTTTCCAAAAATATAACACACTTGATATTTTGCTCGATTCCTCTTCGAGATATAGAGTATATAAAAATTCGCCGGCTTTAAATAAGTAGGCTTTGAACGGCATCGGCTGTAATGCAAGATTGAGATGCAGAATTTTATAAAAATTTAAAATATATTTAACCAACATCAACACATTTAAACTATATCTAATAACAATAAAAATAAATAGCAAACCAAGGCATGAGACTTTGCTACAGGTGTTCGACATATCGACCGTCTTCTGTTATGGACAAACGGGACAACAGGGCGTCGTCTTGTTGGAAAAATATGTTTTCGAGTTCCATTAAGGGCTTATTATCAATAAGGGGTCCAAAGCCTACTAGTTAAAAGTGGCGAACTTTTAAAAATTCTGTATTTTGAAGGGGATTATGACAAAATATTAAGTGTGCTATATTTTTGGAAAGGTAATTTTAAATTCTTTTCAGTTAATTAAAAATATAGAGGGTGTCCCAAATAAAAAATCAATTTTTCTGTTGATAACTCTTAAATTATTAATTTTAAAAAAATTATACTAAAACCGTTAAATTCTACGTAAAAAGGTGCTTTGGAAATGTTTTCATAGAAATATAAAATTTTCTATAGCAAAAAAGTTACAGCGATTTGTTAAAAATGCACATTTTTGAAAAACACCCCGTAACTCGTAAAAACGGTAACAGATGTTGATGTGCGGTTTTCACCTTGTTTTCACCATCATGTTTTTGATGAAAACTGAGCTCCAGACACCGATATTAGTTTTCGTCTATCTCGTATAGAAAAGGGTGTTTCCATTTAAAAGCGTCGAACTTGACCCACCCTGTACATACCAATAATTATAATAAGTACCTAGGCATAGTTTTGATTTCACCACAAATCTTGTATTTACAATAATTTTTTAAAAAATATTAATGACTATGTAAAGTCATTAAGAAGAAAGCAAAAAATGCAATAATTAATATACAGGGTATTCCATTTAAAAAAAAATCTCCATCCAGTCACATTTTTTTGAGCCACCCTGTAAAAAAAAATTCTAAAAAAAATCTTTTTATATGACCTAGAAATGCCCGACGCACTTTTGCAGGACCCTGTATATTGAGAGCGTTTCGAGAATATGGTGGAGGTGCCGTTTTTGCATTTTTCCAATTTTATTCGGCAAAAAAAATTAAATTCAATGCTAGAAAAAATAAAAAAAAAAAAATTTTTACTAGCATTGAATTTAATTTAAACCCTGTATATATATAAACCAATTTATTGCTAGAAAGAACGTCAAAAAAACGTTTCATTATAGTCATATATGAGGATTATTTATTAAGTGATAAGACTGATTACCATTTATATCTCTGTTGTTTACTTATTATATAGTATATAGGTACTTAGATGCATAATTATAATATTTCTGATTTTTCAACAAGAAGAATTTTTCATAATATAACACAAAAAAAAATAACTAGGACAGTTGCGATTATTGCTAATTAGATTAAAAATACTTATTGTAAGGTCGCGTCATTATAGAAAATAAAATTAAATAAAAAACATATAGTTCAGAGATCGAAATATTACGCGTATTTTGTGTTGTTTTTTGCTAAATAATAGGAAAAAACAGGAAACAAAGTCGAAAAATTGAGGTTAGGACTCACCTGACTAGTTACACAAAAATTCCAGAACAGGATAAAAAAATTTAAATTAAATTATATTTAAACTGCTTTCGTCAACTGACTATATTATACCTGTATAGGTGCGTTTGATTATAGTGCTATACGCGGTTGAACGTTATCGTGTTCTCATACTGTTGGTTTCGAGAATGTATTTAATGTAAAAGTGATAACGTAACAGTATACTGGTCCGTATTCAGGATATTTACTCCCAATAATAATACAAATGCGGCGTCAAGTTGCAATGCCTAATTTCTAATATTAATAGTGGACCCTAAAATCTACATAAACATAGTGCCCAAACTGCAGCAAAAGTCGCATATTCTTATATAAAATTCACTACAAATTACGTTACTGCAGCAAAATCCGTCTTATCCACTTATATTTGCAAAAAATATAAAAGTCGCAAAGTAATGTGAAAATCGCATCATTGTATCTCTACTGATAAACGAGAAATCCCATAAAACACACGAAAATGGGATACTCTGTACAGGGACATCATTTTAAGTGTCTCACCCAATTTAAAATTTTCCTGTTACTTATTTGAAGATAGTAAAAATATATTTTAACGTAATTTCTCGTGAGGATGCCGATTTTTTATCTGAAAATTTTTTAAAACGTCAATTTTGACAGATACGACGCCATCTTGATTTTTTTTAAATGGAAACCCCTACATATTTTAGCACTTTCCGGTAGACATATTTTTAGCTAATTTCAAAAAATATATAGTATAGTTTTAGTATACTTTGCGCTTACCGTTTTCGATATACAGTGGATTTAAAAATTAATTGTTCCAGAATCATTTTAAGTGTCTCACCCAATTTAAAATTTTCCTGTTACCTATTTGAAGATAGTAAAAATACATTTTAACGTAATTATTCGTGAGGATGCCGATTTTTTATCTGAAATTTTTTTAAAACGTCAATTTTGACAGATACGATGCCATCTTGATTTTTTTTAAATGGAAACCCCTACATATTTTAGCACTTTCCGGTAGACATATTTTAGCTAATTTCAAAAATATATAGTTTAGTATACTTTGCGCTTACCGTTTTCGATATACAGTGGATTTAAAAATGAATTGTTCCAGAATCATTTTAAGTGTCTCACCCAATTTAAAATTTTCCTGTTACCTATTTGAAGATAGTAAAAATACAGTTTAACGTAATTTCTCGTGGGATGCCGATTTTTTATCTGAAAATTTTTTAAAACGTCAATTTTGACAGATACGACGCCATCTTGATTTTTTTAAATGGAAACCCCTACATATTTTAGCACTTTTCCGGTAGACATATTTTAGCTAATTTCAAAAATATATAGTTTAGTATACTTTGCGCTTACCGTTTTCGATATACAGTGGATTTAAAAATGAATTGTTCCAGAATCATTTTAAGTCTCACCCAATTTAAAATTTTCCTGTTACCTATTTGAAGATCGTAAAAATACAGTTTAACGTAATTTCTCGTGAGGATGCCGATTTTTTATCTGAAAATTTTTTAAAACGTCAATTTTGACAGATACGACGCCATCTTGATTTTTTTTAAATAGAAACCCCTACATATTTTAGCACTTTCCGGTAGACATATTTTAGCTAATTTCAAAAATATATAGTTTAGTATACTTTGCGCTTACCGTTTTCGATATACAGTGGATTTAAAAATGAATTGTTCCAGAATCATTTTAAGTGTCTCACCCAATTTAAAATTTTCCTGTTACCTATTTGAAGATAGTAAAAATACATTTTAACGTAATTTCTCGTGAGGATGCCGATTTTTTATCTGAAAATTTTTTAAAACGTCAATTTTGACAGATACGACGCCATCTTGATTTTTTTTAAATGGAAACCCCTACATATTTTAGCACTTTCCGGTAGACATATTTTAGCTAATTTCAAAAATATATAGTTTAGTATACTTTGCGCTTACCGTTTTCGATATACAGTGGATTTAAAAATGAATTGTTCCAGAATCATTTTAAGTGTCTCACCCAATTTAAAATTTTCCTGTTACCTATTTGAAGATAGTAAAAATACATTTTAACGTAATTTCTCGTGAGGATGCCGATTTTTTATCTGAAAATTTTTTAAAACGTCAATTTTGACAGATACGACGCCATCTTGATTTTTTTTAAATGGAAACCCCTACATATTTTAGCATGGTCCGGTAGACATATTTCAACTAATTTCAAAAATATATAGTTTAGTATACTTTGCACTTACCGTTTTCGATATACAGTGGATTTAAAAATGAATTGTTCCAGAATCATTTTAAGTGTCTCACCCATATTAAAATTTTCCTCTTTTCTATTTTAAAATAGTAAAAAGATTATTAAATGTAATTTTTCGCGTGGATGCCGATTTTCTACATTAAAATTTTGTAAAACGTCAATTTTGACAGATACGACGCTATCTTGATTTTTTTAAATGGAAACCCCATCATATTTTAGCATGGTCCAGTAGACAATTTTAGCTAATTTCAAAAATATATAGTTTAGTATACTCTGCGCCTACAGTTTTCGAGATATACAGTGCATTTAAAAATGAAATGTTTAGCATTATTTTAAGCTACTCATCCAGTTTACAATTTTCGAATTTTAAAATTCTTGAAAATGTCAAATTTGACAATTACGACGCTTAAATTTTTTTATTTATTTATACTTTGATTCTTCTTCAATATGACCTTTATATACGGATTGATTTGATGTCAATATAGCTCTAATTTCTAAGGGGCGCCACATATATGTGTTTTAACTGTTTTGAAGAGTAATAACTTTTCGTCCGTACGTTTATAAAACTACTGAGTAAAAAAATATTCATTTATAACAATTTTTACGTAAAAAAGGTCTCTTGTAAAAATTGTTACGAGTAATGGTTAGGTTAGGTTAGGTTAAATCGAAATTATCAATACCTGCCATCATTGACATAAATTAAACATGTGGACTAAATAGTTACTAGACTGAAATCATAAATTTGAAATTTTTTTTGTCAAAAGTTCAACAGAAACTGTTTTATCATCATTTTTCCGCAGAAAAATTTAAGATTAATTTAAAAAAATAAAAATTTCCCACCATTTATTTCAGCCAAATATCTATCTACTCAACATGTTTATTTTTTTGTCAATAATGACATGTATTGTCTATTTCCATTCGAAATATCTGGAGAAAGGTTGCTCGTAGCGATTTTTATCAAGAGACATCTTTTACGTAAAATATCAAGAAAATGTATATTTTTTACTCAGTAGTTTTATACAGGTATGGGCGAAAAGTTATTACTTTTCAAAACAGTTAAAACACATGTAGGTGGCGCCCCCTACAAATAAGAGTCATATTGACATCAAAATCACATTTTTCATGTCAAAAAACTCCCAGACATGAATTTTCAGCCAAATATTGACGTTACTTCAGAAATTAATTGGAAAAAATCGAAATAAAAATGAAACATCTACACCCTGTATCTCCGAAACTAAGCAGTGTAGGACATATATTTATACGAACTTTTTTACTTATTTTTGTCTGAAGAATATGCTGCCGAAGTTTCCGGAATACAGTTTGGACCACCCTGTATAAAAAAAATCTTTTTTGAAAATTTAGTTTTAAACTGCTAGTCATTTATCATAAGATAGCTCAATTTATGTAAATTTCGATCATTTCAATACGAATGCCACTCAGTTGTACCGGGCGGTGTTAAAATTTTTTGGGTTTCCATTTAAAAAAAATCAAGATGGCGTCGTATCTGTCAAAATTGACGTTTTAAAAAATTTTCAGATAAAAAATCGGCATCTTCACGAGAAATTACGTTAAAATGTATTTTTACTATCTTCAAATAGGTAACAGGAAAATTTTAAATTGGGTGAGACACTTAAAATGATGTCCCTGTACATATGTGATGCGCAGTAGTGAACCCTAGTAGTCTACCGGCAGCCAGACGCCCCGCACTTTGGTCAGGAGAGCATAGCAAAAGATATATTAAAGAACCACATTCTTAAAATTGTAGTTTTCCCGACGTTGCTAGCTCTTGTACTATATTATATTTTTATTAAGGTTAGATTAAATTTCAGCAAAATAAAAACACTAAATCACCACAATACACCAAAACACTTTTATTTTACACTGGACGCACGTTTCGCTAACCATGTGAGCATCATCAGCAGATGATTATAAACTAAAGTACAATCTACAAGTTGAGCGTTTATATACTCGCTCAGAGGGCACCGAGTGGGCGTGGCAAAATATAGCCAACCGAGTCAGAACCCACTGAGCAAAACAGTTAGATTTCCGCCACTAGAGTAGTAGGAACAAAGAACTTGAAGGAATTGGACCGTTGTCTCTGTTCATACTATCTTTACATTTATTAATTCTGATGCTTTCATATGCATCTAATTGCCTGTAATTTGAGAGTTGTTTAATTAATTTTAAATTATTAAGACCTATACAATGTTCTTTATCAACAATATGTTCGACAACGGAAGATTTATCCGGTCTACCATATCTTATCTGAGCTAAATGTTCTTTAAATCTAGTTAATATTGATCTTCTAGTTTCCTCAACATATTTCTGATTACAATCTTTACAAGAAATTTCATAAATACCCGACCTTTCCAGTGGAGGTGTTTTATTCTTTGGATTACCTAATAATTGTTGTAATTTATTATTAGCACTATACACAAGTTTATAATTGACATTCTTAAAAATTCCTTTTAGACCACGGGATAACTCTCTATCAAACGGTATCGAAAAATATTCAGACGTATCTTTCTCCACTTGAAAAGTCGAATTTTCAGAAATCATTAACCTATACCTACGTTTTCTAATTAATTGATCAACTCGTGAAGGAGAATATCCATTATACTCAGCTACATTCCTAATGTAATCTCTTTCTATTTCATATCTTTCGTTGGAAAGTGGGAAACTAAGTAATCTATGAACTAAGAAATTTAAACTAGCCATTTTATGTTCAACACTATGATGTGATTCATTAGGAATATATCTGCGTGTGGTCGTATTTTTCCTATAGATATCAAATTCCAGGCAATTATTAGTATTTCTAATAACTAATACATCTAGAAATGGTAATCTGTCGTTGTTCTCAATTACATGCGTTAATTTAATGGTTCCAACAGCAAAGGTTCCAACCCTCAACTGTAATAATAGATTA